AAGATAATGTTTTATACTCTGAAAGTATGCATATAAACTTCTGCCATTAAAGTGAATTAATGATAATTTGTTTTCAGTCTTAACATTGCTGTTAAACTGCTCATCCGTGTAATACTTGCAGTTATTTTCAGAGTTCTTATAAAAGTTTTTTTCAGGGTCAAAATCATCGTCTGATTCATGATAATGTTGTTCAGTGTCTCCATGGGAGAGTGTTGTGCCTCTAGAACACATTCAAAAATTGACCGTAATCAGTATGCATACTGTCTTGTTTGCATGTGCTTCATGTTATCACTTTATTAATGTGGACACTTTGCATAGTCAGATTTAATATGTGGTATGGATTTGGGACATGCCAGTGGGTTTTAGAAGACAGGATGGATAGTTTAAAAATCATGCTATAGGTGGAATTCAATAAAAATTCCATAGTAATAAGATGCATAATGTTTACAAATATCTTTATAAATATTACAATGAAACTTTAAATACGTTTTTATAAAACTTACTAAACATCAAACTAGCAGAGAAAATATGGGTATGATTGACAGTTGTGCTCCACGAATTTCGCAGTAACTGGGAGTTGGTCAGACTACACTTACAGTATACTGCTGTTACACAGTACATATAACTGCTGTTATTTGTGGTATAATTATAATAAATTTTAAGTTGTACTTGGCTCACACGACACCAGATATGCCAAGCTGAGTTCCAAGAAAACATCCAGAAAGATTCCCCTTGATTTGAATGGTTCACTTTAGTATGAAGTGAACTACAACAAACAGATATACAGTATGTACATGTGAGACTTTAACAGTGCATAACAGATGTTTTATCCAACTTTGGGGCCATGGTGCAAAAGAAAGGGGCATACTGGCATTAAGATTCCTATGCTAGAGGTGGCAACAACCCTCAATACTGTACACATCACAACAAGTCCAGCCCCTACAGCCCAGGAATAAAACTGATTGGAGGCTCTCTTACTACTTGCCTGTGGTCAGGTTTGCATTTCTGTGTTGGTGTCTCAGGTTTCAAGACTGAGCCTGTGTCCTGTAGTTGTTTTTTTCCCGATAACTCCAGCGTGGATGAACGTACAGTACAGCTGTGGCATGAAAGAAATAATTTACACTGTTACATTGGAATGTTAAAGAAAGACTTCTGCCTTTGAAGAATGACCACGAGCTACCAGGAAGTAAGTGTTGCAATAATGAAGCAAGACAAACAGAGATATTAGTTTAGGACGCGTTCAGTAAACATCAGTAATAAGATGCATGTTTGCTTTCACTAACCTTGTGACTAGTCATTGGTAAATATTCATTCTGGAGGCAGGATATTAAAAAGCTTATAAACTTACAGCATACTCGACATAGACAAGGGGAAATAAAAAAAATGTATTGGTTAACAAATGAAAGAGAATCGAAATAATTGTTTATGTAAAGACCTGTCCAATCTGTCAGGTAATGGAGTCTGGGCGCCCTGCCTCGTCCAAACAGAAGATGATCATCCACTTCTCCAGTGGTGAAACTCTGGAGGATTCAGACAATGAGGAGGAAGAGGGGCAGTCCTCAGGCAGAAGTCCCTTCACAGAACCTACACGGAGGGTGAGAAAGTGTTTGATGTACAAAATTCATGTTAGTTGTTAAACAGCATCCACATCACATCTGTTTTTTCTGTCTCTTCCTTCTCAGACTGAGTTCTCATACAAGAATTTGGCCATTTAGTTGGGAGGGTTTCACTGCTGGGTGCAGAATATGACAGTTAAATACTTTCAAGGCATTATAAACAAACACTAGGACTAATTTTGTCAGTATAAGAAGGTCTCATTGAGTTTCCTTGTCTTTTACGTCTAAAATTACAGTAGCTTGTGATTTTCTTGAAGAGAGCCTAGCCAGTGCACTTGGACGGAATCTGGCTAAACACCAGTAAGCCATAGATCAACATCATTGTGATCACAAGGCAGTGTTGGAAAGTAACAAAATACAAGTACTTTGTACTCGTTACTGTACTTAAGTACATTGTTCACATATCGGTACGTTACTTAAGTAGATTTGATTATGGCTACTTTGACTTTTACCCCTAAGAGCAAATATCTATACTTTCTGCTTCACTACATTTCTAGTCAAAGTTGCATTACATGTTCCAATCACATTGCTTTACACATTTCACAATACAGCACTTTTCTTTTTACTTTTTTAATGACGACAAATCAGTAGTGAGACAGGAATCACTTCATTAAACCAATCAGTGCAGGCAGGGATGGCGTTAGTCCCTCCCTTTTTGAGCAAGAGTGGGACACATGTTGGTGATAACACACCCCAGGTGGATGTAGACACTTCTTTTTCAATACCTATGATTTGTCAGAGCAGGAAGTGAAGTAACTAACAATTTACTAATAAGGATATGAGTGTTTAGTTGCTTGTATGTCATTCTCTATATTTTCTCTACCTCACTTACAGAAAACATGCAGCCAGGATGGTCTCACTCAGGGACAGGCAGAGATGATCCACCTCTCGCCTGGGCAGAATGTCCATCATTATGGGGCAACAGGAGTTACAACATATCCCACTGCTTCCCAGGAAAGCTGTGATGAGAAACACAGAGAAGTGCAACAGAGGCTATCATCTAGATAATATTTGAAATAAAACTAAAAGAACAAAAGCAGGAATCAGAGTTTGATGTAAGCCTTAAGCTGCATGCATGGCGAAACAGAAATACAAGATATGGTATTTGTGTAGTATGGTAACGTTTCAACTAGTGATGGCCAAACACGGCTTTACTAAAGCAATGCTGCTTTGCAATGTATTGTATCTCCAGAAGGTTAATTACTGGAAGCCTCTTGACTCAGAGTTCATGAGTGACATCTACTGTTAGAAGTAATGAAGTGCAGCCACCCTGGCAGTGCAAATATTACTGACATGCTTGTCTAATTCAAAGAACAAAGGGAAGCAGATACACTTTCTGCAAATCAGCCATCCAGCTACCATAAACCTTCTCACAATGATGTCACCTAACATTCAGATTATGGGGCGAGGAGGTATCACTAGTCCAGGTTCATTGCTGCACTGGGCAAAACGAATTTGAGAGCAAAGCTGGAGTCCAATAATTCCCCTGAGACTGTAAAAAAAAGAGGCAACATCAGCACCCATCAGAATATTATTTACACAATTACAACATTGTAAACCACATTTGTTCACCATAATAGTTTTATTTTTTTTGTTAATGCCTCAGATCATCAGTGAATGGAGCTCTCTGATAGCTAGCAAGTGACATTAGCAGTTACTGTGAGCAATGGAGAAATGATGTGTGTTCGTAATATTAGCTTCTACCTCAATATGTCAAAATCCAAGCAACCCTTTTAAATAATATATGGTGTGGTTTGGTCAGGGGGCGGGGGAGCAAGACAATTTGATGCCTTGTTGACACATAAAGTATACTATAACAACGGGTAAACAACAACTTGACAAGTGTTTATCACAGTCTTTTTGAACAGGCTGTTTCCCATTGATTTGCAAACTCAGGTTAAGCCACTTCTGTAAACTGAAGGAGTGCCCCAATACTACTTGACAAGAATTCTTTCAGTTATGTTTCTGTCAGCTTTAGAAAGATTATTCAGCGGTTTAAGTTGCTTTTCATACATACAAAAAATACAATAAAATAGCAACCAAAAATGATATATATACTCAATTTTTTTTTTTTTTTTTTTTTTTACAGTGACTCTAATCCTCTTCCACAGAAATCACCTTTGTTAGTTGGCATCTTTGGATTTTAAATTTTCCC